ATCATGTATGATTTCCACTACAACCACATGCTATCTAAATATGACAACATACGTCTGTTAATGACCGACACCGACAGTTTGATGTATGAAATCTCGGACGTGGCAGACTTATACGAAACACTACAAGAAGACAGACACTTGTTCGATTTATCAAATTACCCTACCGATCATCCAATCTATGACATCACCAACAAAAAAATACCGGGAAAGTTTAAAGATGAATTAGGTGGGACGATTTTACAAGAATTTGTTGGACTCAGACCTAAAATGTATTCCTATACATATAGCGCTGATAAATCAAAGCAAATAGCTAAGGGTATTAATCGGAGTACCATCGTACACGACTTACGTCACGACATGTATCTAGAATGCCTGTTTGAATCTAAAACCCTGATGTGTGACATGAATTCCATCAGAAGTGATAGACACGACTTACATGTATACACCATCAGAAAAGCCGGTCTCTGTAGTTTTGACGACAAACGCTACGTAAAACAAAATGGTGAAACGTGGGCACACGGTCACTACAGAATAAAAAAACGACATGCATTGACTACAACTTTAATGAAAGTAGGTACAAAAACTATAATTATTGCTTGCCGAAATGTCGAAATACAAGTTTTTTTAATTATTTGTTGTACATCTTAGAGTTTGCTGTTTCCTTATTGTTGTACTTGCCGAAATGTCAAAATACAAGCTTTTTTAATTATATGTTGTACATCTTACGAGTTTACTGTTTACTTATTGTTGAACATGCTTACCGAAATGTCAAATACAAGCTTTTTAATTATATGTTGTATATACTTTTAATTTTATGTATATATATGTAAGCTTATAGACCATATGTAGTTTTTTCATAATTAATGTTGCTTGTCGAAACGAAATACAAATATACGACAAAGTATAAGAGTTACTTCCCTTATATCATGTTTCAGTTGGCACAATTTCAACGTAAATTTTAGGTAGAAATTTTGGAAATACACATTAATCTTTGTACATATTAAACCACCCATTTAACCTCATTTCTGTGTTTGTGTTTTATTAATTATTCCTACTAATGATTATATCGGTTCTTGATTTTCTATATATTTACAAAAAAATAATTCTACAAAGACATACAAAACCTTCACCATAGATAGACTATTGAGTTTTTATTCTCTATATTCTGTACGTCCTCTTATATCTACTTTATCATTTAGCAGTATACACTCAGTCCTGCCTACACGGTATGTTAGTAAAGCAGTTTTAAAGCAATTCGAATTTTTCAAATCATTTCACACTGCTAGGCTATTACATTCCAATGACGTTTTACCGGGGTCAGATCCTCCTGCATGTGGGTGGTCTTTCCCAGGTTACCTCCTTAGGCTATACATTCCAGGGATTTCCCCTATTGCATCATCTGACCTAAATACCGCCGTCACAAGGTATTACCTGTTGCGACTTGTTTATTTTAAGAACTAATATGTGCACAACGTTGGTGGACGTGTCCAATCTTGTTTGTGAACCTGTCGTAACTTGTTTTTATCTATAAATAAACGTGATGGCATCAATCCAAATAGGAAATGGGGGTTCTAAGCCACTTTATCCCTCCCTCTATATTTATAGTTAACAGTGAGGGATCAGGGACTGACTCCATGACCTTGATTTAGCAACTTTTACATTCCAAAAAGGGGATTTACCGCTAGGCTATTACATTCCAATGACGTTTTACCGGGGTCAGATCCTCCTGCATGTGGGTGGTCTTTCCAAGGTTACCTCCTTAGGCTATACATTCCAGGGATTTCCACTATTGCATCATCTGACCTAAATACCGCCGTCACAAGGTATTACCTGTTGCGACTTGTTTATTTTAAGAACTAATATGTGCACAACGTTGGTGGACGTGTCCAATCTTGTTTGTGAACCTGTCGTAACTTGTTTTTATCTATAAATAAACGTGATGGCATCAATCCAAATAGGAAATGGGGGTTCTAAGCCACTTTATCCCTCCCTCTATATTTATAGTTAACAGTGAGGGATCAGGGACTGACTCCATGACCTTGATTTAGCAACTTTTACATTCCAAAAAGGGGATTTACCGCTAGGCTATTACATTCCAATGACGTTTTACCGGGGTCAGATCCTCCTGCATGTGGGTGGTCTTTCCAAGGTTACCTCCTTAGGCTATACATTCCAGGGATTTCCACTATTGCATCATCTGACCTAAATACCACCGTCAAATCCTCCTTTTAAATGGGATTAAGGTCAAAGGTCACATTACGTCATCGCCCTAGGTCAAATGTTATAATCCCCTTTTAATCCCCTTAAAAGGGGATGTGGCGGCGGTATTATACCCCTACTACCCTCCGCTGACCTAAAATACAACTTCACTGACCCTCCGCTGACCTCACTGACCCTCCGCTGACCTCCACATTACCCCCACTGACCCTCCGCTGACCTCACTGACACCCCCACTAACCCTCCGCTGACCTCACGGAAAACGTCACTGACCCTCCGCTGGCCTCACTGACCCTCCGATGACCTCAGTGACAACTTCACTGCCCCTCCGCTGACCTCACTGACAACTCCACTGACCCTCCGCTGACCTCAGTGACAACTTCACTGACCCTCCGCTGACCTCACTGACACCCCCACTGACCCTCCGCTGACCTCACGGAAAACGTCACTGACCCTCCACTGGCCTCACTGACCCTCCGATGACCTCAGTGACAACTTCACTGACCATCCGCTGACCTCACTGACACCCCCACTGACCCTCCGCTGACCTCACTGACACCCCCACTGACCCTCCGCTGACCTCACTGACAACTCCACTGAACCTCCGCTGACCTCACAGACAACTTCACTGACCCTCCGCTGACCTCACTGACATCTCCATTGACCCTCCGCTGACCCCACTGACAATTTCAATGACCCTCCGCGCTGACCTCGCTGACAATTTCAGTGACCCTCCGCTGACCTCGCTGACAACCTCACTGACCCCTCCGCTGACCTCACTGACAACCTCACTGACCACACTACAACTTCACTGACCATACCTTTTCACTAGTGAGATCACTGACATCTCCACTGACCCTCCGTTGACCTCACTGACAACTTCACTGACCCTCCGCTTAACTCACTAACAACTTCATTGACCCTCCGCTTACCTCATTGATAACTTCACTAACCACACTGAACCTCCACTGACCATACTTATCCCCTACTGTCCTCACTCACATATCCAATGATCCTCCGTTGACCTCACTGACAACTTCACTGACCACACTAAAACTACTCTGACCTTACTCTCACTGACAACTTCACTGACCACACTAAAACTACTCTGACCTTACTCTCACTGACATCTCCACTGACCTCTCTACTAACCTCACTGACAATTTCACTGACCCTCCGCTGACATCACTAACAACTTTACTGACCAAACGTACCCCATACTGACCTCAATGAGACCTCCACTGACCCTCTGCTGACCTCACTGACTATTTCACTGACCCTCCGCCGACCTCGCTGTCAACATTACTTACCCCACCGCTGACCTCTCTGACAATTTCACTGACCACACTACAACTCCACTGACCGTTTGCCTACTGACCTCACTGACACCTCTACTGACCCTCCTTTGACCTCACTGACACCCTACTGACCTCACTACCACACTAACAACTCCAATGACTTTATGTACCCCTGCTGAACTCGCTGACCCCTCCACTGACCTCACGAACGACTCCATTTACTTCAATGACAACTAATGGATCACATAATCATTGACCTCATTGACATCCGAACCTATCTCATTGAGAACGCTACTTACCTCAATGCTTACTATACTGACCTATACTGACCTAAATGACCCCTCTACTGCCCTCACTGATAACTCCACTGACCTCACGCACCCCACAACTAATCACATGGACAACCCGACTGACATCCCTGACCCAACTGACCCCTCCACTGATCTCATATACCCCTCCACTGATCGCTCTACTGACCACTTCACTGATCTGTTACAACTCCACTGACCCCTCTACTGACTACACTGACCCCTCCGCCGACAACACTGACACACCCATTGACCTCTCTTACCTCTCCATTGATCTCATTGGAACCTCGTCTGAACGCACCGACAATTCCACTGACCTTGCTTACCCCTCTACTGACCCGAATGCCCTCTCCAATAACTTAACCGACAACTCCAGTGATCGCACTAACACCACTACTGACCAAATGACTCATTCACAGACTGAACTGACCCCTCCATTGACCACATTGACAACAACGGTGACGAACTGATCTCAATACTGACCTCACCGTTACTTCCATTGACATCACTGACATTCTACTCACCTCAACGACAACTCTAATTGCCTCTTTGACCTATCTATTGACAACAATGACAACTTTAATGACTCCCTAGAACCTTTCACTGACCCCAATGATCTCTCAACTAACCACACGGACTTACCTACTTACATTTATATAGCTCAATGACCTCAACAACAACACATATAACTCTACTGACCTCATTAACCCATCAGTATACCGCACTGCACCTCGAGTGATCATACAGACAACTCCACTGACAAAATGACAGCTCAACTGAAAACACCACCCCTCCACTTACCACACCAATATTTCCAATGACCTGAAAAACACGGACAACATTATTGACCTCAATGACCCCTCTACTTACCTCACTGACAACTTCCACTGACCACACTGATACCTCATTTATATCATTGACAACTCAACTGACCTCGATGACCTTTTCCCGTGACCTCACTGACCCCATCACTGACCCCTTCACTGACCTCTATACTAACCATACTGACCTTTCCACACTCTGTACTTATCACACTGACCTTTCCATTAACCCCAGTCATCCTCCACTATATACACTCCACATGAAACGCTGAACACCTCTAATGACTACAATGACAACCTCCGTTTCATACTTACCACTTCCACAGTCCACACTAAATAGCATCCTGGTCAAAAAGGAAATACTAACCAACTATACGGATCCTGTGCTTTGTCTTAATATGTCGCCCTAAAACTAAGATTTCATTTGCGTTGTACTGAAAAACCGCGAAATTTTCGCTGCAGTTTAATTTTCGCCTTTATCGCATTTCATAATAAGGGCAAATTCAAGAACCTTTGCTAACAATATTATATGCATAGTAATTAATGTGAAGGGCGAATTTGATATTGGGCGAAAATAGATTGTATCGTCGAAAGGCGAAAGTTTGACCTGGCGAAAACTTTTAGATCTACAGTTTTATTCATTTATTTCTTTAATGAATGTTTTTAACATTTCGTTTTAGCACACAAACAAACAGGTAGCATATAAAGCAGTAATTGTTAATTTTAATACTTAGTATTTATTTTTTGAAATGAAATGTTTAACACACAATATAAATTAACATTACAAATAATGAAACGAACAACTCGTTTAATAATTTTTTTTACACTTTTGCTGCATAATGGATAAAAAGACAGGATTGAAAATAGATTGTAAAGATTTCAAAAATGTTTACGCTTATTCGTAAATAGAGTTCCTATTAGACTTTAAAATGGTACAATGTATCTCTGGTATTGTAACCCTTTCTAGCATGTCTGTACCTAATCTAACACATTTACTAAGAACAAAACGTCCATGTCTCAAAATTGACATAAAACTCAAAATTTAAAGTGAAAAGAGGAGGGATGATACACTACTGTCAACATAACACACACTGTCAGGGATTGACAGAGAAACGTCACATGTTTAGTTCTTATTTCCTGTAACATTAACATATTAAAAACTTTTTCTGCTCATTTCGTTTAAGTAAAGCAGCGTACATACATGTATAAATACCTATATTTATGGGATGAAACTCAATATTGTCTTTGCTTCAAGGATACATATCCGGTTTCCCCACTGGATGGCTACTTCCGGACGAAAATAATCAAGGGCAAGGTGTAGAAAGGGGAAGCAACTCTGTTACGCACGCATGTGTTACCATTAAACAGCTTCGCTCTTGCGCCTTTGGCTACGCTCTTATTAAAAAAACCTTTCTGCTAATTTCGTGTTTGTTTAAGTAAAGCAGCGTGCATACATGTATAAATACCTATATACCGTTAAAGAAATACTTTCAAAATTCATGTCAACACATTGAATTGGTGCAAATGTCAAGATTCATATTCAGTAAGTACATATCAAAACATAGTCAATTTAACAAAATGTTGATATAAGTATTGTTGATACTAGTAGGGAAGGTCAAACACCAGCATATCAAGAATTTGCCGCACACTGTCACGAACTATTAACAAAACCACATATTCCTAGAAATTATATGTCTTATTTCATATGACATAATATGTGATAACACTTTTTATTTCAGCTGGTGATACTTTGTCCTGCACTATTTACAAAACCACATATTCCTAGAAATCATATTGTCTTATTTCATATGACATAATATGTGATAACACTTTTTATTTCGGGTGGTGATACCTTGTCATGCATTATTTCAGCAATAACAGTTCCAAGACCTCATTCTATTATTCATTATTCATTCAGTAAGCCATTTATAGATGTGCAGCGTAAAACAGTGAAACCAATACACCTACAACAATACAAATATATAAACAAAACATAATAAATAACAGTATATTGAACCATGAGCAGTGTAACATAGGACCAAGTCAACTGATTTAACATCAGCAAAGATCTGGTATGTCTGATATTAGGTGACCTTATTGTCTTTGTTCCCGGAATATTTGCATGGAAGATTTTCTTGTAGTGTCCTGATTTACATTGATGATCTAATATCTCTCGCTATTGTGAACGCTGTAATCGTTCTATACTGTCCTCGGCAGTGTTAAGATCTTGGTTAGGTCTTTGACCACCAAGGGAGTCCCTATATTCCCTGAGAGCTCTGCTTGTGTCCCCAACCATTTCATAACATTTCCCCAATATATTGTTGACTATCCAGTAATAATAACATCCCTGTTCCTCGTCATATTTCAAGGCCCGAAGATGAATTAATGCTTCGTTACGTCTTCTGGTATCACCGAGCTCATGATAACACAAAAAGGACAGAAACACAGCATAAGGAAGTGGGGGGATCAAAAGATCATGTATACCCCGTAAGTTTATCAACTCCTTGTGTAACTGGGAGAGGCAAAACGATAAATGAGATTGTTTTATATGCAATAACGAAGCACATGCCCCCTGGCATTTGTGAAGTAGGGTGTAACCACGCCCACAATAGAGATGTTCGTACCTGTCCTTGTCCCTAAAAGTTGCAAAGTCACCAACATAAATTTTGAATGACGAAACCATGTTTCGACACATCTCTAGTGTTTTCACATAATTTCCAGTTTGGTAGTAATATGTTGCCAACGTTAGCTGTCCTGGACTTGTACAAACTAATGAAAGAGGTGCCAGAAGGTCTTTGCATTTCCTAAGATATTTGTATTTCTCTTTGTTTCCTTTAGCAGCAACATGTTTCTCGAATGTATCCACCCCTGTATCAGACAATGCAAATACTGTACATATGTAACCTATGAACTCGTCGATGTCTGATTTTGATTTAGATAGGAGTGTTAGTGCAACGGGAAGTGAAGCAGACTTATTTTCAAATGAAAATAATGTAGAGAATATCAGCATGTCACATTCCTGTTCTGACTGTGTCGGTGGAGGTAATACATATTCCCATTCTCCATTCTGCACACTGTTGATTCGTAATCCTATAGATGGCTGTATGACGGTTCCAACTGAAAGACAGTTCCATTTCTTATCATGGAGCTCAATAAGTATACGAAGGATGTTTTGTTGATTTTCACCATGAACTGTGCCAAGAAACATATTGTTGCTTTTAATGAAGTAATTTGGGCAATGTCCTGTATTCACCCAAGCAATCAAAATGTTTAAGCACAACATGAAACAAAAAAATGTATTTCTTTCTTGCCACAACGAACAAGGTGTACTTTCCACTGCATGGAATACAGTTGTTTTCATAATATAGGATGATATAATATCCGCATCCTTTATTTGCTGCCCAAAACTGTGTGATATTTGTTTGAGGAAGTTCTTCAGAAGTCCATATACTAAAAATTGGACATGACTGAGAGAATGTATAAGTTTCTTTTCAGCGCATACGAATGAAATCCGCCAATGTAGGAATGTGTCAGGGGATGTTCTATCCCCTACAGAGACAAGATGACAACCGCCTTGTACTATCTGATCTCTCAAATCAGATCCTGGCCACTCATACATACGAGTCCTACTCACCCACTCATTAGCTTCCCGTGGCCAACTAGTACATGGAAAGGAGATTACGCTATCAATATCACGTGCGCAGTTATTCTGTGTATTATTCGCCCTAAAAGCTGGGCCATTTGTTTCTAACGTCTTGTTGGAGATAGCACCAACTTCATCAGCAAGAACCCGTGAATAAATTTCACTTGATATGAACAGTGCATCCCTAACTAGAACAAGGCATTGGATGTATGATGGATTGCATGTCTGTCCCAGATTAACTAGTTCAAGATGTACATAACCAGGTCGACTGTCAGCATCTCGCATTATAAACACTGTTTTTGTACTATCTAGACGAGTACTGATGCACTGCTCAGGGCACAGCACTATCACATGGGTGTCAACAAACATAATATCGATGTCCGAGCCTTTCATTTGGATTCCCTCTGACAAACTTCCTACGTAAGAAGTGTTACATTTGCCTCCCCTACAATTCATTATTTGCTCCTTCACAAACGTCAGCTTCCTCCTGACGGCCACCAGCTTCCGGCTCCCTATATACCTGTCCAGGATATGATGTAGAATCCAAGACTTTTCATACTGCTCATCCTGATCTGCCATCAACCTGATATGTCAAAGTCCGACAGAGATCCTGTAAACACACAATGGGGATACCGTTCCTCTATGTACTTATCTATATCTTTTACCTCAAACTACTAAAAGCTTTCCTTTGTTCATATTTAAATATATTTTTACCGACTTTAAGTTTGAATTGTGGTTTTATGGACACTAAAGTATTCTTTTATTGGTTTTTTGCTGTTCTAGTTCGATAATACATTACAGGTATCTTTCTAATTTAAAAACTACTAACAACAACAAAACCACAGATTCATGTTGTGAATTTATATTAAGATTACGAAGTAAAACGGTTCTATTGATTATTTTTCCGCTAATGCTTATGATGTTAATTAAACATATGATATTTGTGACCCATACGCCATGTTAGGTTTTATTTTTTGTCTATGCCTCTTTTTATACTACCGATAACGTTTGTACTTATTTTTAACATTTGATAATGCGACTCTGAATGACATTTATATTTGAACAATCGTAAGGGTACTAGTTAAATTGTCGTCTGAATAGGAAGCCTTTCGCTCCCACTGGGCCAAGTTTTAATGCATCTGACCTATGTGTTCCTTCACTACAGGTAAATTATCATGACATGATCTAGACCTAAATTATTATGACAGTGAATTTGAATAACTTTCTGACTAATCGGAATGCTGTATACGTACGAACTATCCATGAAAATCGTATTGATTTGATCCGAATTTTTATAATATATAAAGGATATTTAATGGTGTCTTCAGTAATAACAAATATATTTCACAAGCCACACGAAATATATTTGTTATTACTTAAGACACCATTAAATTTTCTATTTATTACATTTTAAAAGGATAAAGCATGAAAAATGTAATGCTTTAAAAAAAGAGTAGGAATCAGAAGCGTAATAATTAGCGCCATATTCAAATGACGTCACGCTTAACAACAAGGTTGTGCGCCATTTTGAATGGGATACTCAACGTAATTCTGACGTTCTCTGCTATTATCTGGTGTGATTGGTTATGAAAATGTTATTAATTGTATATTCATATAAATACTTGAGTGTGTGTACCAAACATTTGCCATAACAACAACCCATTCTACCGTCGCTTCATTTGAATTTGAACAAAAAAATCGATGCCTTTGAATGCAGCGAATAGAAGATACCGTTATTATTGGTCAATACCAAATATCACTCTTGATATTTGTCACAGTGTCAAAGATATCAGTTTTATCAAGTTGATAGAATCCGATATTTCACTGGCAAACATGTAATAAAGAGTTGCGAGTACAAAATATATTCCATTTAGATTTAAGAGTTATTGTCATCTGATCTGGTTCCAGGGGCAGGGTCACGATATAGGGTATGAGGGCTGGTCGATAGGTGGTAAAACTGGCAAAGTCCCTTCATTTTTGTTGCATTTTGTATTGGGTAGTTGTGTGGGCCTGTTCTACCATAAGATATGCATTGAACCTTCGTAAAACCTTTATTATCAGTATACGTATATGAACTTGGTTCGTGACGTGGATCTTTTTCTGTCCTGGTGTTTTTTGTATTGAATAGCAGTGTGGTCCTATACTCATTATGTACCATGTACGATAGTTATACCTCTAATACTTAAAGTTAAATATAGGAACATATGATCACATCATCCTATACTTATTCATCTTTAGAAGGCGTATATGTGTGTATTTGCATAGTGTCCCCTGATTCATTTTGGATAAAGTTATGACATTTTATTTCTAATTATTCAGAAATTTCAGGTTTTTGAAACCTATTTTAATTCTTGTTTTGATTTGATGTTGAGTCTCTTAGTTTAAGATAATAACGTAGTTAAAGTTAATGTTCTTGTTAACTATAAAGGCACCATACTATACTGACACCATCAACCACCAATGATATTAGAGAACTCAACTGACCACAGTGAAAACTTTTGTAATTTCATTGACCCCTGTAATGACCTAAATTTAAGCTCTATTGACCACTCTAAGAACTCTACATACCTCACTGACCTACTGACCCACTTTTCTTACCTTAATATCCCTAACGTTAACTAACTCAATTCTCAACTGACCTAAATGAATCCTTCACCGACCTCGTTGACAGATACACCACTGGCATCCCTGACGCGTCTACCCACGACACTAATAGTTCTACTGACTACAGTCACAACTTCAATGACTTCTCAGACCCGTCTACTGACCTAGCTGTCAGCTACAATAACCTCACAGACAACTCTACTGACAATCATACTGACCCGTCTGCTGTTTATTCTGACCTCTCTAATATCATCAACACGTCATTAACTTACAAACTTGACGTCAATGATCCCTTTACTTGCCTCATTGACTTCTTCATTGAGCACACGTACTTCTCCATCAACCTCCACTGATCTCAAAACAACTATACAGATCACACTGACAACTCTATGGACCTCCATGACCTCTCTTCTGACCTAATTGACATCCCTCACGTATCTCACTGACAACACTACTTACCTTTATGTCAACTCTACTGAACTAGCTGACCCCTCTTCTTGCCTCGATTATCAACCCACTGATCTCACTGCCCCCTTCAGTGACCTAACTGACAATAGCGATGACCACATTAACGCTTCCAGTGACATCAAAGACAATCCCACTGACCTCATTGACATCAACACTGACCTCTTAACCTAAATGACTACTCATGTCTCAAACACATAAGAAATGTTAGAATCTAAAACTAAAGTTAAAACAATAAAAGGCTAAACGGTTCGTGATTATTTTCCATATACTAATCATAAAACCCTGTGTGTGGTGAGACTTTGTTACTTACATGTATCAACAAAACCGATATTTCAGTACAGGCTGTACCGTGGTCGTATGCACGCCTAAATACATTTATGACTCTGAACATGACATGTACGGTTTTATGAAAAGAACATTATATAAGCGCGTTATAAAATATTTGAAAGAAATATTTTGATAACTTACCAGAGTTGGTTCAATTACGGAGCATTCCAAGATTGAATTTGGAAGACCAGGATCGCGATATTATGTGATGTACCATTGATAATCCAGGTAGAGAAGATGTTTATCGTCCTTTCAATCATTGTGAATATTGCCAGAATGTAACTTGTATTAAAAGTTGTTATCAATTCACGACATTTTTGTCTAAAACAAGACAATCACATTTTCCCCCTAACCACTAGAATTAAACATTGTACAGAATAAATGAAAATCCTCTTTATATTTCCGACTTCGCACTCGATATGTAAATTTCAGACATCAAAGGCTGTTTGGTTCTGATGTGGATAAACGTACCCGATCCCTGTACAAACTGGCTGTAAAATGTCTTGTCTGTTGATAGCCGTTGCTATATAACAATACAGAGATGACACGTACTGTATTTATACAACCGGTCGGGATTTCCTACTTTCCTTTTGTATATATAATATGTAAGGGTATTACTTAAGGGTATATCCAGTGTGTAGCGGAGGTCTCTAGGCACCTACCCATGTCGTGACACTATATTTTGAAGCTAGCACATTATGTTAGCAAACATTTGGCGACGGGTGTACCACTGTCTAACTTTAAAAGGTCAACAATTTTATGCAGTACCGAAAACAGTTTCGTTCCTACAAACACTGTACATTCACACTGAATGTATGTAAAAACTAAAATAAAAACATAAATGTATCCAACCGCAATCTACAACGGTGTAAATCCTTGTGGGTAAAGTTTACGTTAATATTGACCTTTAATATCAATTAACATATCTAGTAATATTAAACGACTGATAATATAATTATGTATTTGTTTATCGTTCCATTTACAAAACTTAAATATATCAGGAAACGTGTTGTTATTATTTACTACTTATCAAAATAAATAAATATGCGGTATAAAATCTTCAAGGTCATAATCGGAGACTATTTTTTATTTCGAAACTACTTCTTTAGTAATGAAAGATATGCAACAATGCATGGAACTATTTTCGAATAATACATGCAATGTATATATCATATATTTTCTGTATGAATAAGAAGCTTAACAAGCTGATAAACTGATATTTTGCATTTAGCAAAAAATGACTCGGTGGCTGAATCATTGTTATTTTGCGTGGCTTATAGTAGTCTATAGGTCGTGATTTTCGTTTATGCATAACACTTGAACTTTCACCAAACTCCCTCATCTATTCAATATTTCTTGCACCTGTGTGACTGAGTTACAACGTACATTATAAACTAGCAAATATGTGCACCAGATGATACAAATAAACGCTACAGGATAATTTAAAAAAATACGTAATCAATATTAAATCCGCGCAATCCTGTCTGAACTTTGTTAATGCATTCTCAATCTGAAATCTGTGATTCGAACCGACAGTTCAAAGTGTAAGTGTGTGCATCCTAGACATTTGGGTTTACGTTTATTCAATTGGTATTGGTGTGATATCTTTTAAAACCCATAGCCCTATCACGTATATGCTCAAATGGCACCTTTGCTGACTTCTCTGAACTCGCAAACTCACTGACACCACCAACCACCAATGCACTTAGCCAACTCAACCGACCACAGTGATAACTTCTGTAATTTCATTGACCCCTGTAATGACCTAAATTTAAGCTCTATTGACAACTTTAAGAACTCTACATACCTCACTGACCTACTGACCCACTTTTCATACCTTAATATCACTAACGTTAACCAACTTAATTTTCCACTGACCTAAATGAATCCTTCACCGACCTCATTGACAGATACACCACTGACATCCCTGACGCGTCTACCCACGACACTAATAGTTCTACTGACTACAGTCACAACTTCAATGACTTCTCAGACCCGTCTACTGACCTAGCTGTCAGCTACAATAACCTCACAGACAACTCTACTGACAATCATACTGACCCGTCTGCTGTTTATTCTGACCTCTCTAATATCATCAACACGTCATTAACTTACAAACTTGACGTCAATGATCCCTTTACTTGCCTCATTGACTTCTTCATTGAGCACACGTACTTCTCCATCGGCCATACTGACAACCTCCACTGATCTCAAAACAACTATACAGATCACACTGACAAATCTATGGACCTCCATGACCTCTCTTCTGACATAATTGACATCCCTCACGTATCTCACTGACAACACTACTTACCTTTATGTCAATTCTACTGAACTAGCTGACCCCTCTTCTTGCCTCGCTGATCAACCCACTGATCTCACTGCCCCCTTCAGTGACCTAACTGACAATAGCGATGACCACATTAACGCTTCCAGTGACATCAAAGACAATCCCACTACCACTGACCTCATTGACACCAACACTGACCTCTTAACCTAAATGACTACTCATGTCTCAAACACATAAGAAATGTTAGAATCTAAAACTAAAGTTAAAACAATAAAAGGCTAAACAGTTCGTGATTATTTTCCATATACTTATCATAAAATCCTGTGTGTGGTGAGACTTTGTTACTTACATGTATCAACAAAGCCGATATTTCAGTACAGGCTGTACCGTGGTCGTATGTACGCCTCAATAAATTTATGACTCTGTACATGACATGTACGGTTTTATGAAAAGAACATTATATAAGCGCGTTATAAAATATTTGAAAGAAATATTTTGATAACTTACCAGAGTTGGTTCAATTAAGGAACATTCCAAGATTGAATGGGGAAGACCAGGATCGCGATATTATGTGATGTACCATTGATAATCCAGGTAGAGAAGATGTTTATCGTCCTTTCAATCATTGTGAATATTGCCAGAATGTAACTTGTATTAAAAGTTGTTATCAATTCACGACATTTTTGTCTAAAACAAGACAATCACATTTTCCCCCTAACCACTAGAATTAAACATTGTACAGAATAAATGAAAATCCTCTTTATATTTCCGACTTCGCACTCGATATGTATATTTCAGACATCAACGCCTGTTTGGTTCTGAGGTGGATAAACGTACCCGATCCCTGTACAAACTGGCTGTAAAATGTCTTGTCTGTTGATAGCCGTTGCTATATAACAATACAGAGATGACACGTACTGTATTTATACAACCGGTCGGGATTTCCTACTTTCCTTTTGTATATATAATATGTAAGGGTATTACTTAAGGGTATATCCAGTGTGTAGCGGATGTCTCTAGGCACCTACCCATGTCGTGACACTATATTTTTAAGCTAGCACATTATGTTAGCAAACATTTCGCGACGTGTGTACCACTGTCTAACTGTAAAAGGTCAACAATTTTATGCAGTACCGAAAACAGTTTCGTTCCTACAAACACTGTACATGCACACTGAATGTATGTAAAAACTAAAATAAAAACATAAATGTATCCAACCGCAATCTACAACGGTGTAATTCCTTGTGGGTAAAGTTTACGTTAATATTGACCTTTAATATCAATTAACATATCTAGTAATATTAAACGACTGATAATATAATTATGTATTTGTTTATCGTTCCATTTACAAAACTTAAATATATCAGGAAACGTGTTGTTATTATTTACTACTTATCAAAATAAATAAATATGCGGTATAAAATCTTCAAGGTCATAATCGGAGACTATTTTTTATTTCGAAACTACTTCTTTAGTAATGAAAGATATGCAACAATGCATGGAACTATTTTCGAATAATACATGCAATGTATATATCATATATTTTCTGTATGAATAAGAAGCTTAACAAGCTGATAAACTGATATTTTGCATTTAGCAAAAAATGACTCGGTGGCTGAATCATTGCTATTTTGCGTGGCTTATAGTAGTCTATAGGTCGTGTTTTTCGTTTATGCATAACACTTGAACTTTCACCAAACTCCCTCATCTATTCAATATTTCTTGCACCTGTGTGACTGAGTTACAACGTACATTATAAACTAGCAAATATGTGCACCAGATGATACAAATAAACGCTACAGGATAATTTAAAAAAATACGTAATCAATATTAAATCCGCGCAATCCTGTCTGAACTTTGTTAATGCATTCTCAATCTGAAATCTGTGATTCGAACCGACAGTTCAAAGTGTAAGTGTGTGCATCCTAGACATTTGGGTTTACGTTTATTCAATTGGTATTGGTGTGATATCTTTTAAAACCCATAGCCCTATCACGTATATGCTCAAATGGCACCTTTGCTGACTTCTCTGAACTCGCAAACTCACTGACACCACCAACCACCAATGCACTTAGCCAACTCAACCGACCACAGTGATAACTTCTGTAATTTCATTGACCCCTGTAATGACCTAAATTTAAGCTCTATTGACAACTTTAAGAACTCTACATACCTCACTGACCTACTGACCCACTTTTCATACCTTAATATCACTAACGTTAACCAACTTAATTTTCCACTGACCTAAATGAATCCTTCACCGACCTCATTGACAGATACACCACTGGCATCCCTGACGCGTCTACCCACGACACTGATAGTTCTACTGACTACAGTCACAACTTCAATGACTTCTCAGACCCGTCTACTGACCTAGCTGTCAGCTACAATAACCTCACAGACAACTCTACTGACAATCATACTGACCCGTCTGCTGTTTATTCTGACCTCTCTAATATCATCAACACGTCATTAACTTACAAACTTGACGTCAATGTTCCCTTTACTTGCCTTATTGACCTCTTCATCAAGCACACGTACTTCTCTATCGGCCATACTGACAACCTCCACTATCTCAAAACAACTCTACAGATCACACTGACAACTCTATGGACCTCCATAACTTCTCTACTGACCTAATTGACATCCCTCATCGTATCTCACTGGCAACACTATTTACCTTTATGTCAACTCTATTGAACTAGCGGAACCCTCTTCTTGCCACGCTAAACAACCCACTAATATCACTGTCCCCTCCTGTGACCAAACTGACAATATCGATAACCACATTAACGCTTCCAGTGACATCAAAGACAATCCCACTGACCTCATTGACCACCACTGACCTCTTAACCTAAATGACTACTCATGCCTCATACACATAAGAAACGTTAGAATCTAAAACTGAAGTTTTTAAAACAAATAAGGCAAAACGGTTCGTGATTATTTTCCATATACCTATCAGAAAATCCTGTGTGTGGTGAGACTTTGTTACTTACATAATAAAGGTATCAACGAAACCGATATGTCAGTACAGGCTGTACAGTGGTCGTATGTACGTCTAAATAAATGTATGATCCTGTACAAGACATGTACGTGTTTATGAAAAGAATATCATATAAGCGCGTTGCAGGATATGTGTATAATAAATATCATGCACGTAACTAACAAACACACAATCATTCTTATGCATGGGTAGCTAGAGTTTTCAACTATAATGAAATGGTTGATTTTCATGCAATGACACACATTTGCATGTTTTCAATATAATAACCACACACATACGTAAACCAACATTTAAAGAAATTTTGAACTTTGGTAAAAGTTTGATTTGGTTTAATTTAGCTTAACGTCCTATTCATAGCTAAGGTCATTTAAGGACGTGCGTCCATGCGTATACTGAATGCGTGTTTGTGTGTGTGTAATCAGGAGACAGGGTATGTTGTTGATCGCGTGGTATGATGAAACAAATATATCTAGGTATATGTTTACGATTAAACATTCAACAATTAACAAACCTACTTTCTAAAAGGTACACACATCCATTCTCATACCTTAGCATGTATTTGGAAGTTACCTTTGACTTTCATTTTGTTCATATTTCTACTTATATTCAATTAAATGAATCATATCCATTTCGTTCAATGATACTAATATGATTATTAATATATAAGATCTAGACATAATGACTATAACTATAAATGCACACTCTGAAAGTGTGAGTGCGTAACAAAGATATACACATATATCCACATGTGCGCACGCATATCTCACATACATGTTTATTTATATAATATATATAGAACTTCATTTCGTTCATTTTACCAATACTTTTATTGTCATATAGATCATAAGATATCGATTGATATTTACAGTTTCAAGTGACGGCTGTGGTCATTTAGGGTCATGGTGATTTATTTATTTATTTTATTTTCTAAACAAAGATGTAAGTAGCGAAGATAGAATCAGATAAAAAGGTTCATTTTAAAAGGATTCGTATTTTATGTGTAGATAATTAAAATAAAAGGGGGTTAAATTAATAAAAGAGACAACGAATATATGACGAATACCATCACCTTAGGCCACTCGGTTACTTAGAAGAGGTCGTTTAAAGTTTTAATACATGCACAAAATGCTTCTGCCAAAATATCATCACCCGCGGATTCTTGGCCTCTCGCGTTTTACAAAAAGTCGTTTTAATAATAGACACAAGTCCACAGTATAAGCTCACCTGGCGCTTCGGACCAGATGAGCAAAATATGAACCCTGTTTTAAGAAATTATTTGTATCTATACAACTCAAATAACAATCAGTTGATCCTTTCTTCGGTATATGTGAAAAGTAGCATTTTTAATGATAAAAGTTTGATAACCTAAGAAACGTTTTTTTAGGAGATTTCGTAAAGCAACGTGCATAAATCAGGCAATGCTTTTTCTTTCCTTACCAGTACTGTGAATAATGACGAAATGCAGCTTAACCAATTCACCCGAGTGTTTTCAGTACACGATCGCAACATCCAATTGTTGACAGTAGTTGCTATATACGTGAACAGGGTTGGTAACCACCATATTGATATAACTGACGTGAATTGCCGGTGTATACTGGAGGCTTCATAACAAATGTTCATGTCTATAATGGTGTATTTTGTATTGGATAGTAGTGTGAGCCTGCTCAAACATAATGTATGCAATGAACCTTCTTAAAACCTTTATTATCAGTGTACGTATCTGAGCGTGTGTTCGTGACACGGACCTTTTATAGAAGTTTTGACCTATTCAACAATGAAATATGAATATTTGTGTATGGTGCATTGGGTAGTGCTGCTGTTCTGATATCATCTCAACGTTATGAATTGATCGCTTGAATAACTTTTATACAAGGGAACATTTTTGATTATATAAGTGGTGCCCATTGCATGGATCTATTCTGTCTTTGTGTATTGTTTTATATTGGAAAGTAGCGTAGTCCTTCATTCATCGTTAGAGTATGATATATGCCTTCGTTATATCTATAATATATGTATTTGACGTAAAAATTGACGAAAAAAGAAAATTTGAAAAAAAGACAATGTACGCTTCATTTAATGTTTATATTGCTAAAGTTGTACATAAATATTTCCCTTTCTTTATACTAAACAAATCTAAAGTAACTGCATTAAAGTAAAAAACGAGGCTTTGAACATACTTTTAAAGATAGTGTTGATATTCGATATCTTAATATATGTATCACTGAATCTGTTTAAAGTATGAAAGCAGTTTCAATGTATGACAGCGTACAGGTATACATCTATATAATGGTCAGGATATATATCCCTTCCGAATCATTCTACCAGTTTACATATATGTATAAGGATAAAATACATAATAAAGAAAACGTTTAATAACTTACCAGATTTAGTTCAATTAAGGAACAGTCCATGATTGTATGGGGAAGACCAGGGTCAAGATGTTTTGTGATGTACATTGGATAATCCAGGTAGAGAGGTTGTTTATCGTCCGCTCAATCATTGTGAATATTGTCAGAATGTAACTTGTAATGCAAATTGTAATCAATTCACCACATATTTATCTAGAACAAGACAATCATATTTGTTGATTCCACACCACTGGGATGTAACATTTTACGGAATAAATGAATATCCTCTTTATATTGCCGATTTGCACTTGATATCTTTATCATAGACATCAATGCCTGTTCGGTTCTAAGTTGATAAATGTGCCCGATCCCTGAATAAACTGACTGTAAAATGTCTTGTCTGTTGATAGCCGTTGCTATATAAACATACAGAGTTGATACGCACGGTATTTATATATCCAGGCGGGTTTTCCTACTTTCATTTGGTATATACAATATGTAAGGTTATTACTAAAGAGTATTTCCAGTGTGTAGTGGAGGTCTCTAGGC